CTGAGAACAAACCAGAGTGACCAGTTCCTCCCAGTTTAAGCTGTGAAAGCCCCACGTCCAGGGAAGGCCCTCAGTCCTGGGCAAACTGGAAGGATTTGATCAGCAATGCCCCAGTTTTAAAACTTAAAGTCCAGTGTCTCAGGAATCCTCTCAGTCACAGGCAATCTGGGATGATTGATTCCCCCTAGTACAAATTAAGATTCACATACTTATATCCACATATTTGAAAATTGTCAATCAAGCTAATGAATTGTGAAAGGCGGTAGCTTCTACCTTCCTACCTGACAAATATATGTTTGTAATCACGTGCGGAAGGCTGGGTTTGAAGTTAGAACTTTCAGACTGTGTGGAGGGGCACAGCGCAAAGAGGGCAGAGTGAGATTTCCTAAAATAATAAATTCCCGAGTAGTTCAAAGAATACCTTGCTCTCTCGGAGTGATAGAACCTTTCCTTCGGCAGGTGTAGCAAATCCCCATAGTGAAGGGGGCACCATCTGGTCTAAGGCTTTTGCAAAGGGAAAAGACTTCAGAGGACAAGTGAGTGCCCTGCAAGTGACATCGCAAGGGCTTCCGCTGGGACTTCCTGCTGCTTTATTCACTGAATTACCCCTCAGACTACAGGGCAGCTTTCAAGTTTCTTCCCAGGCTGTCATAACAGCTACAAATAATTCTGATAATACATATTAACATATTGATGTATCGTAATTCAAAACTACTTTTAAATGGTATTTGGGGGTAATAAAACTCCTCAAAATGCTATTGAAATTTACTGGAATCAACGACTTGGCATGAATTGATACAATGCCACCACTTGTGGCTGCCCAGGTTGTACACTGCGCAATTTCAGATGGTGCTCTTCACATGGACTACAATATGAAAGGCGACCCCTTCCCACCCAAGCTGTGCAAAGAATAGACTGCACAGCAGTATGCAGCATCCCTGAATTGAAGTACACAGCCATTCATTTCGTTTTTTCTCTGCTAAGATTGATATTTTTCTAGTTTTGAAACGTGTTAAAATTCTAATTTGAACATTGGGGCCACTTTTATTTGGTTCTTCATTTAGACTAACCTTGATTATTCGCTGGGGAATGCATGAACAGAAAATAGGCTCATTTCACTCTATTTTAATGGCATTTTCCTGCTAAGGGTTCAGAAGTAAAATGAAAACTGAGTGAGCTTTATGGTTTACAAGTTTTACTGTTTCACATGGCAAGTGAGGACTAAAAGCATAGGAAATAGCTTTGGAATTTCATTTTGCAATCACTTAAATGTTATAACAAAATTTAATTTTATTTCCAAGTAGACTTTCATGTAGAGACCTAGTTAGCTCTGATTGGAGAATAAGTAGCAAATGTTTTTGTCACCAGTTCTTGTTGATGCTGAGTTCTGAAAAAAAAAATTTTAAATGTTTTTGGCAAGTCTCGTGGGAATACCTTAAAGCAAAACATTCTGATCATCTTGGTAACTGCAGAGCCATCCAAAAAAAATTAAGTTGGTATACTTTTACATTTCTCTCTGACATAACATTTATTTCTAACTTTTTATTTGTAAATACTTTCGGGAAGTACATTTTATTTTTCTGTGTCGTATTAGGGCATAAAAAGGTTTCTTCAGTCTAGAACCCCCCTAAAGACTAAATGGAGAGCAAAATTGTGCTCTTCGTATCATTACGCAGCGTGGTTAATCATAGGTTCTTGAATGCAGATGGTCCTGCTACACATAGTTTGGCAGTAACCCCAAGCCATCAGAGAATAAGAAAAGTGGTATGAAAATTACCTGATTCTGGAATAAAAACGCCAAAATCGCAATGAAAATGGCTAACTGTATAATAGAAACAATACCAAAAAAAAAAAAGAAAGACAGAAATAGTTATAATTCATTGATTGCTGAAGTTTTTCCAGAGTGATTTGTGAGTTCTTCTTAGTCTTTGCTTTTTGGTAGGGGTGGAAATTGGAGGACTGGGGTGGGGAACAGATTTATTGTGAAACAAACCAAGAATTTTAGATTTTACTTACCACGTCCTATAAAATAGTCTATTCAATTATAAAATCTTCAGTGTCTATTTAGCTTATTTTAGTTGGCATAGGTTAGAAATTTCTAAACTCCAAATGCGTGCTTACAGATCTTTGCTGTTTTGCTTTTTAGGTGCAAACCCGAATTATCCTGATGTAATTTATGAAGGTAGCTATCATGTTTTCTTTACATTGTATGTCTTCCAAATGTTTGTGTGTAATGAAATAAATCAACTAAAAGAAGACCTCTAAGCTCAGTTAAATATATACACTTTAAGCATTACATACTCAAAAATACTTTTTCAAAAATCGTTCAATATTGATGGCCATTTTCCCTTGACATTTGTAGTGCCTGTAAATAGCACTTTCTCTCTCATGCTCTGTTCTTGGAAGTAGGAAATCCATTTTGCTGGCTTGTAACAGACATTTTGTTTTCATAATTGGGAACTAATTACCTGTTTAAAAGCCATGACTACCAAGAAAAGGGAAGTGTATCGGTTTCTGGCTATGACAGTAAACCCAATTCGAAATTATGTTTCTTGTGCACCGAAGAAGTGTGACTTTGAGAAACCTCAAAGGCAGGGCTTGCTTTAGGGTAGGTTAAACCAGCCGCTTAACTGTCATTAAGACACCCAAATTCTCTTCGTCTCTGCCATCTTGCCATCATGTGAGCTTCAGTGGAGGCGGTTCCCCTTACGGTTATAAGCGGATGTCAGCAGGGAGGCTGCCGACATTCACAATGACAGGAGAAAGGGAAGAGCTTCTCAAGGTGTCCCAGAAGATAACCTTCCCAAAGACCTTCACCAAGCCCTCTTTGTATCAGATTCAAGACCCCCTGGGGTCATGGTCCATTCTTGCCCTCATTACTGATAAGAGGGAGGGATTAACCCTTGACTCATTAGACCCACCCCTAACATTTAGGTCTGCTTCCTCAGAGATGGATAGGTTAAACTCCCTGAACAAAATGAGGTTCTCTTGGGAATAAGAAAGGAAAGAAACCAAAGGTCCGCCATATTAGCTGTTGCCTCAATAGCTCATCCCTCCTTTGCTATTTTGTTCAGATGCCAAGGATGTTTTACTAGGTGTGAAAGCCCATCTTTAACAGATTTCCAAACCACCTTTGTGATCAGGAAGCCACTGTTTGGGGAAGTGGCAGGTTACAATTCAAGACTTGGCTTGACATTTAAGAATGATTAAAAGTTAGATTGATTAAAATGTCCCATTTATATATTTATTCTATAAAATATTACATTCTTTAATTGTATATCTATTTATACTTATTAACATTTTATTTTTTGTGTAAAATGATTCTGTTTATATGTTTATTATATGTGTGTGTATTTAACTTGAGCTGATTTTAACTGAGGAATTATATGTCTTTACCTGCTTATGTATATTAAGACATATTTCTTCCAAACTGTTGTTTGGTTGATTTTGTGCATGTGATTTGTGTGTTTTGTCTTTATTCGTTCCAGTATGTTTTAAAGGAAGAATACCTCAAATTCTATCACAGAGTGATATGTTTGAATTGTGATTTTACATTTTAAAATTATGTTTTGGACCCCTTTCTGGTGACTTCAAGACTTTAAAAATGTCATTTTCCCATTGGCTTCAGATCCCACTTTGGATCTGTGGGCTAAAATGCCATGATATTAAATCATAGACACTTTAATGACTTAAATTTTGCATGAGTGATTGGCTATGATACAAGAGGGAAAAATAAATAAATTATATCTGTTAGTACTTGAAATCAGTAAGTTTTAATATATGCAGAATACGGTTTTTGGCATTAAGAATGAAACAACAAACAGATAGCAAATAGATGCTTTCTGTGTTACTGTTTATTCACAAAGGAACACTCCACTAATAAAAATACAATTTAAATTGGTTGCCCCGAGGCCAGCGTGATGAGTGTACCTAGAGAAGTTTAGCTGGAGCTGAGTTAATGAGTTTAGCTTCTCCAGGATGGAAATTAAGGAACTGTACCTATTCAGAATTAAAATACAAACATCATAAACAACATTGTCTGCAGTAAGTTTACCAAGAGTTTTCTATGACATTTCGTATGTGACATTATTAATGCTAATAAAAACTTTTGACTACCCTCAAAAAAATCAGTCATTATTTCCATCCTGATCCATGTAGACTAAAATTGATCCAGAAGACGGCAACTGCATTTGAGACTTGGTGAAATGAGAGCATAGCTTTACAATTCTAAGTATCATGTTGGTCTTTCTAGTAATAATTCTGAACCGCAACAACTGGCAATTCGGAACTCTTCAAAAAAGTTCATGCATGGACTCAAGTTCCGTCATGATGCAGATTTCATGGTTCATCTGAAGTGTCTGCCCTTTACTCAAATAATATGTACCTGCCCCAGGAATCAGTGTTGTTTCTTTCAAGTCTGGGGACATGTCCTGGCTCGGCCACCTTCTTCCCAGGTGTGTCTTAGACTGGTCATTTAACTTTCCTCAGCTGACATTGTTAGCCGTAAAACTGGCAGTTAAGCTCAGTCCCTAAAAACCCTTCCAGGTCTATAAATTTATGACTCTTAGATGATTGATTGCCTTTTGTATTTATTTTAAATATGCCATTGATAAAGGGGTGTGTTCTTATGTGCAAAGAAAAAATCCTAAACCAGATTTAGGATGTGGCCAACAAAGCAATGAGGTAAAGGTCTGGGTTGAATAAAGTCTTGGTGTTGTGCAGGTGACTCAGCAGCCTGGTCACACTGCTCCACAGCCAGGCTGTCAGTGGTGTGGAATCTTTGGGATTTGTCTTGCTTCGTTCTGGGTCTTACTCTGGCCTCATGTTCGTTGGCAACCTAATGACAACTTCATGTTCCTTCTCTTTCTCCCTTCTCCAATTTAAGATTATGGGACTGCAACAAACGACGTCGGGGACACCACCAACAGAAGTAACGATATCCCTCCCACTGGGGTTGCTGACACAACTGGTCGGGAACATCTCTCGGTGAGTGGAATAAATAGGTGTTTACTGGATTGGTTCTGAGCATTTTGGATATGTACATGTTAGAGGAATGTAGCTGCTTTAAGAAGACATTTTTATTATTCAGATGTAAATAGGGCATTAAAACACAGAATAGATTTTTTAATATAATAATGTATTAATTTATATTAATAGAAAAGTGATACAGGTGCTATTATAGCCTTTGGATTATTTGTTTCTCCTTTTGTACACCACTCTTAATTGTTGGTGGTTCCTATTTCAAATATCTGTCCTTTAAAAGAAGAAGCAAGAAACTAGAAGAGAAAAAAACCAGTTTTCTCATTCAAAGAGTGCACCTTCACACCTGTCTCCTTAAACTTTTAATAAAAGTTTTACTATTCACCAAATGTAAGGATTCTAGGAGACTGTGGAGGGGACCGTCTGTGGGAAAATATAAAAACATGAATGAAACTCACTCAGATCTGTCATTTAGCAGCTTATACATCTGTCAGAGATCCTAGATGTGAATACCAGCACCCAAAGTACAAACAGAGACAGAGCAATGCAGTACAGTGATAGAAAGGGTAGGGCAGGTGTTCCATTTTTTCCAGCTGGGAAATTCAGAGGAGCCTTTGTGGGGCAAGTGGCATTTTTCTGGGTCCGTGCAGGAAGGCTGGGGTTTGGACATACAGGAATGGAAGGGAAGGACATTTGGGGTTTGTGAACAAGAGCTTGCAGATGGGGAAACATGGCGAAGGTGCTTGAGTGGAGGTTAAGGTATGTGTGGGTCAGTGGGGTTGGATATGTGGATTGTGACCAGGTTGTAGGCCTTGAAACACAGTCTCAGGTGTGTAGATTTGTGGTGCAGTGAGGAGCCACTAAAGGGGGAAGTCTCAGGATCCCGAGGTTCTATGGTGGGATTGGTCTGTCAGTTGCTCTGCTCAAAACCCAGCAGCTTCGTCCACTCTTTTGTTTTCCTCACAGTTGCACATGCGCAGTCCATACTTTCTGTGTACTTGGCCTCCGCATAAATTCAGATCTGTCCATGTCTCTTCACCTCCACTGCCACATTGTGGCTACCAGGTTGGTCAACTACAGCCGATGGCAAGTCTAGCTCACTCCCTGTTTTTGTGCTGTTGCAGACTAAGAATGTTTCTACATGTTTAAGTGGTTAAAAAATCAAAGAAGAATGATGTTTCATGTCACGTGAAATGTTTGACAAAATTTGCAAATGGAGTTTGAACTTGTTTATTTAGGTATATCCTTTGTTGTTTAGGTATAACCATCTCTTGTTTGTGGAGTCTGGAATTTATCATAAGTAGAAATACTTATAGCTAAATACTATGATCTCTATCCATGAAACATTGTTGGAAACAAAGATTAAAAAAATACTCAAAACCATTAGGTGAATTGAGTGAAATGGTTAAGTTGATCCATAATTAGCTTTTAAGAATTGCTACCATTCTGTTTGTATATAGTCTCTGTAGCCTATAGACAGAGTTAAGTCTGTACTTAAACCTTTGCAGAAGCATTTTCTGGGAAGCCACTCACAACTAAAGTATCAGAGAAGAGGAATTATCATGTATCCTTTGTCCAATTTTTTGTGCTTTGTGACTTATTTGATGCTATTCTCATCTGACGTCAGAGATGGTGTCGTGGGAGGATTAGCCATATGTTTTTATTTTTCTGCCTTCATTCTCAACTTCTCAAAGAGACAGTGTAATGGATAAATCATAAGTTTTATACTTGCACAGACTTTTGTTCAAATCACAAGCTTAGGAGGTGTGATCATAAGCTGCTTATTTAATTTTTTCTAAATCTTAGTTTTATCATCATCATCATCATCCTAGCAAACATTAATTTATTATCTATTGTAGTAGACACTGTTCTGAGCCCATTATCTGCATTAACTCATTAAGGATTTATAAAAACCAATAAGGTAGAATTATTAGATTTCCTATTTTATACATGAGGATTATGAGATGCAGAGAGGTTAAGTAAGCTAAGAAGTGGTAAATCTAAATTTTATACTCAGGAAGAACCCATGTTCTTAATCTCCACTCTGTACTGCCTCTCACTGTGAGATGAGTGTATCAGCCAGGATAAGCTATGCTGCAATAACAAAACCCCCAAATCTTAGTGGCTTAAAACAACGAAGGTTTCTTTCTTGCTTCATTACATGTGTTGGCTGGGAGCTCTGTCCAGCTTTGTCCTCGTTCCAGGAGTAGACTTACAAAGCAGCCACATTTTACGAAGTTAGCATTTTTTATAACAGAGTGAAGGAGAGCTCCAGAGCATAGTGGAGCAGGGTTTCTCACCCTTGGCACTATTGGCATTTTGGGATGAATGATTCTTTGAGGGGTTGTCCTGGACACTGTAGGTTGTTTAGCAGCACCCCTGGCCTCTGTCCACTGGGTGCCAGTAGTACCCTCCCCCTCCTGCCGCCCCCCAGGTGTGACAATTGCCAAATGTCTTCTGGGTGGCAACATGATCCCTGGTTGGGAACCACTGCTTTACACTAAGATCTTGAACTAGAGGTGAAATGCTACACCCTGGCCGTGACATTAAGTCTCAGCTAGTCATATGAAGCCACCTACCCACAAGCAAGCCAGGAAGCATATCCTACAAAAAGAAACACAGAGAAAACCAGAAATATTTGGTGAGCAGCGCTAATGATTACCACAAATGGGGATAATAATATCCATTTTAAGGATTATCGTGCAGATTAAGTGAAACAATGAAGCTTATGCATCTTAACTCATTGTAGACATCTAAGACAGTTTAGAGCAGAAATTGGCAAACTATGTCCAAGTCCAGGTACTGTTTTTGTAAATAAAGTTTTATTGGAACATAGTTATGCCCATTTGTTTACATATCTTACATGGCTACTGTCAAGCTACACTAGCGGAGTTGGGTACTTAGTTGCAACAGAGACTACATAGCTGACAAAGCCTGAAATATTTACGATCTGACCCTTTACAGCAAAACTTTGCCTGCTTTAGAGAATTGAACTTTTTTTGGAAGCAGGACCTTGGGCTGAGCAAGACTGGAAGGATTTACAAAGTGCTGCTTATATCTTTGTTTCAAAAATGTTAAGCTGCACTTAGAATAGATCAGCAGTGTTGGTGACAGCGAGATCACGATTTCTACTTGTACCTCTGTCATTCCCACCTCTGGGTTGAGACAGGATTCACATATACATACATCTAACCGTTCCACTTGCATAACCCACACCTTGCAATTACGCTTTTAAATTTAAAAACACTTTTGGGGGGCTTATGTCATACCTATAGACAAGTGCACATATCATAAATAAACAATCCAATGAGCTTTCCCAAGTGGAACGCACCCCAAAAGTGCCCTCTTGCTCCCCTTCCTGTCCGACTCACTGTTCTCAGTGTACCCTGACTTCTAAGAGCAGCAACAGCTAACCTAAAAACATCTTTTTATTCAGGACAGTTTTTAAACATTCTCTATAATAGAATAGTCAATTACATTCTTCACCAGCTTCAAAAATCATCAGTATTTTGCCACTCATGTTTCCTATTCTCTCCCTATGTCTCTCTCTTGTCTTCCTCCCAGATGAGTGGACATAATGTCTATATTTGTAAAATACCAATTGGTTACCCATTTTTATAAGCTTTAACTTATGTTTTCTCATTTGCACAGTTTACTTTATAGCAGGTCCTACCTACTTCATTGTAGGGTTGTTGAGGATTAAGTGAGTTGATATGTAGAAAGCTGTTGGGGGAGGAAGTGGCAAGCATTCAGTCAGTATTAACTGTTGGCATCTTTATTGTCGTCGTCATTACCATATGATCATAGGGAATTAATTAGCAAGGTTGTAACCAGCCTCCCTTCCCTTCTCTAGGTCTATGCTGTTGTGGTAATTGCATCTGTGGTGGGATTTTGTCTGCTGATAATGCTGTTTCTGCTTAAGTTGGCAAGACACTCCAAGTTTGGCATGAAAGGTAAGAAGGGTTGTGTTTATTTTGCTTCTTATGTGGAATCGTTTTTGGCTTATGACTAATGCTAATTACCACTAAAGAAGGAAGCAGCTAGATTTATGATGATTAGGTTTGAAAAGGCTGAAAAAATAGCAACAAGGATGTGACACTACAAATCTAGACACGGCAAAATAATGTTGATTACTCAGCACTACCCACTTTCCCATGAGGACAGTTGTCCCACAAGACACAGAACTGGTTTCTTGAGTATCAAGTGACTAATGATGATATGGACAAATATTGCTCGGTTTTTCCCTTTTGCTCTAGAAAGGCAAGTGAGGCACAGTGGCTATAGGATAGTCTGGACATGTGTACTTTGGGCAGAAAGGTTTTTCCTGCCGCACATTTGATTTCCACATCCTCAGTGGTATGCTTTTGGTGTGGTGACTGCTTCTGCAGGTTCTCGCTCTTTGAAGTTTTAACAACAGAGTTGGGAAGCAAAGTAACAAATTCTCAATGCTGGATTAAAAACTAGGGTCTAGGCCGGGCGCGGTGGCTCACGCCTGTAATCCTAGCTCTCTGGGAGGCCGAGGCGGGCGGATTGCTCGAGCACGCATGTAATCCTTAGCTCTTGAGGCCGAGGCGGGCCGATTGGCTCGAAGGTCAGGGAGTTCAAAACACCTGAGCAAGAGCGAGACCCCGTCTCTACTAAATAAGGAAAGAAATAATTGGCCACCTGATAGTATATATAATATAAAATTAGTCCGGGGGCATGTGGCCATGCTCGTAGTCCAGCTACTTGGAGGCTGACAGTAGGTACGTCGAGCCAGGAGTTGAGAGTTGCTGTGAGCTGGGCTGACCGCACGGCCACTCACTCAGGCCCGGACCAGACAAAGTGGACTCTGTCTCAAAAAAAAAAAAAAAAAAGGAAAACACGAAGGCAGGTGTTCCATTTTTTCCAGCTGGGAAATTCAGAGGAGCCTTTGTGGGGCAAGTGGCATTTTTCTGGGTCCGTGCAGGAAGGCTGGGGTTTGGACATACAGGAATGGAAGGGAAGGACATTTGGGGTTTGTGAACAAGAGCTTGCAGATGGGGAAACATGGCGAAGGTGCTTGAGTGGAGGTTAAGGTATGTGTGGGTCAGTGGGGTTGGATATGTGGATTGTGACCAGGTTGTAGGCCTTGAAACACAGTCTCAGGTGTGTAGATTTGTGGTGCAGTGAGGAGCCACTAAAGGGGGAAGTCTCAGGATCCCGAGGTTCTATGGTGGGATTGGTCTGTCAGTTGCTCTGCTCAAAACCCAGCAGCTTCGTCCACTCTTTTGTTTTCCTCACAGTTGCACATGCGCAGTCCATACTTTCTGTATACTTGGCCTCCGCATAAATTCCAGATCTGTCCACGTCTCTTCACCTCCACTGCCACATTGTGGGCTAACCCAGGGTTGGTCAACTACAGCCGATGGGCCAAGTCTAGCTCACTCCCTGTTTTTGTGCTGTTTGCAGACTAAGAATAGTTTCTACATGTTTAAGTGGTTTAAAAAAAATCAAAAGAAGAATGATGTTTTATGTCACGTGAAAATGTTATGGAACCAAAATTTGCAAAATGGAGTTTGAACTTGTTTATTTAGGTATATCCTCTTGTTGTTTAGGTATAACCACTCTCTGTTTGTGGAAGTCTGGAATTTAATCATAAGGTAGAAATACTTATAGCTAAAATACTATGATCTCTATCCCATGAAAACATTAGTTGGAAACAAAGATTAAAAAAATACTCAAAACCATTAGGTAGGCTTGAGTGAAATGGTTAAGTTGATCCATAATTAGCTTTTTAAGAATTGCTGCCATTCTGTTTGTATATAGTCTCTGCAGCCTATAGACAGAGTTAAGTCCGTACTTAAACCTTTGCAGAAGCATTTTCTGGGGAAGCCACTCACAACTAAAGTATCAGAGAAGAGAATTATCATATATCTTTGTTCCACACTTTTTTTGTGCTTTGTGACTTATTTGATGCTATTCTCATCTGACGTCAGAGATGGTGTCGTGGGAGGATTAGCCATATGTTTTTATTTTTCTGCCTTCATTCTCAACTTCTCAAAGAGACAGTGTAATGGATAAATCATAAGTTTTATGCTTGCACAGACTTTTGTTCAAATCACAAGCTTAGGAGGTGTGATCATAAGCTGCTTATTTAATTTTTTCTAAATCTTAGTTTTATCATCATCATCATCATCCTAGCAAACATTAATTTATTATCTATTGTAGTAGACACTGTTCTGAGCCCATTATCTGCATTAACTCATTAAGGATTTATAAAAACCAATAAGGTAGAATTATTAGATTTCCTATTTTATACATGAGGATTATGAGATGCAGAGAGGTTAAGTAAGCTAAGAAGTGGTAAATCTAAATTTTATACTCAGGAAGAACCCATGTTCTTAATCTCCACTCTGTACTGCCTCTCACTGTGAGATGAGTGTATCAGCCAGGATAAGCTATGCTGCAATAACAAAACCCCCAAATCTTAGTGGCTTAAAACAACGAAGGTTTCTTTCTTGCTTCATTACATGTGTTGGCTGGGAGCTCTGTCCAGCTTTGTCCTCGTTCCAGGAGTAGACTTACAAAGCAGCCACATTTTACGAAGTTAGCATTTTTTATAACAGAGTGAAAGAGAGGAGCAGAGTGGAGCAGGGTTTCTCACCCTTGGCACTATTGGCATTTTGGGATGAATGATTCTTTGTTTGAGGGGTTGTCCTGGATACTGTAGGTTGTTTAGCAGCATCCCTGGCCTCTGTCCACTGGGTGCCAGTAGTACCCTCCCCCTCCTGCCGCCCCCCAGGTGTGACAATTGCCAAATGTCTTCTGGGTGGCAACATGACCCCTGGTTGGGAACCACTGCTTTACACTAAGATCTTGAACTAGAGGTGAAATGCTACACCCTGGCCGTGACATTAAGTCTCAGCTAGTCATATGAAGCCACCTACCCACAAGCAAGCCAGGAAGTATATCCTACAAAAAGAAACACACAGAAAACCAGAAATATTTGGTGAGCAGCGCTAATGATTACCACAAATGGGGATAATAATATCCATTTTAAGGATTATCATGCAGATTAAGTGAAACAATGAAGCTTATGCATCTTAAGTCATTGTAGACATCTAAGACAGTTTAGAGCAGAAATTGGCAAACTATGTCCAAGTCCAGGTACTGTTTTTGTAAATAAAGTTTTATTGGAACATAGTTATGCCCATTTGTTTACATATCTTACATGGCTACTGTCAAGCTACACTAGCGGAGTTGGGTACTTAGTTGCAACAGAGACTACATAGCTGACAAAGCCTGAAATATTTACGATCTGACCCTTTACAGCAAAACTTTGTCTGCTTTAGAGAATTGAACTTTTTTTGGAAGCAGGACCTTGGGCTGAGCAAGACTGGAAGGATTTACAAAGTGCTGCTTATATCTTTGTTTCAAAAATGTTAAGCTGCACTTAGAATAGATCAGCAGTGTTGGTGACAGCGAGATCACAATTTCTACTTGTACCTCTGTCATTCCCACCTCTGGGTTGAGACAGGATTCACATATACATACATCTAACCATTCCACTTGCATAACCCACACCTTGCAATTACGCTTTTAAATTTAAAAACACTTTTGGGGGGCTTATGTCATACCTATATACAAGTGCACATATCATAAATGAACAATCCAATGAGCTTTCCCAAGTGGAACGCACCCCAAAAGTGCCCTCTTGCTCCCCTTCCTGTCCGACTCACTGTTCTCAGTGTACCCTGACTTCTAAGAGCAGCAACAGCTAACCTAAAAACATCTTTTTATTCAGGATAGTTTTTAACATTCTCTATAATAGAATAGTCAATTGCATTCTTCACCAGCTTCAAAAATCATCAGCATTTTGCCATTCATGTTTCATATTCTCTATGTCTCTCTCTTGTCTTCCTCCCAGATGAGTAGACATAATATCTATATTTGTAAAATACCAATTGGTTACCCATTTTTATAAGCTTTAACTTATGTTTTCTCATTTGCACAGTTTACTTTATAGCAGGTCCTACCTACTTCATTGTAGGGTTGTTGAGGATTAAGTGAGTTGATATGCAGAAAGCTGTTGGGGGAGGAAGTGGCAAGCATTCAGTCAGTATTAACTGTTGGCATCATTATTGTCGTCATCATTACCATATGATCATAGGGAATTAATTAGCAAGGTTGTAACCAGCCTCCCTTCCCTTCTCTAGGTCTATGCTGTTGTGGTAATTGCATCTGTGGTGGGATTTTGTCTGCTGATAATGCTGTTTCTGCTTAAGTTGGCAAGACACTCCAAGTTTGGCATGAAAGGTAAGAAGGGTTGTGTTTATTTTGCTTCTTATGTGGAATCGTTTTTGGCTTATGACTAATGCTAATTACCACTAAAGAAGGAAGCAGCTAGATTTACGATGATTAGGTTTGAAAAGGCTGAAAAAATAGCAACAAGGATGTGACACTACAAATCTAGACACGGCAAAATAATGTTGATTACTCAGCACTACCCACTTTCCCATGAGGACAGTTGTCCCACAGACACAGAACTGGTTTCTTGAGTATCAAGTGACTAATGATGATATGGACAAATATTGCTCGGTTTTTCCCTTTTGCTCTAGAAAGGCAAGTGAGGCACAGTGGCTATAGGATAGTCTGGACATGTGTACTTTGGGCAGAAAGGTTTTTCCTGCCGCACATTTGATTTCCACATCCTCAGTGGTATGCTTTTGGTGTGGTGACTGCTTCTGCAGGTTCTCGCTCTTTGAAGTTTTAACAACAGAGTTGGGAAGCAAAGTAACAAATTCTCAATGCTGGATTAAAAACTAGGGTCTAGGCCGGGCGCGGTGGCTCACGCCTGTAATCCTAGCTCTCTGGGAGGCCGAGGCGGGCGGATTGCTCGAGGTCAGGAGTTCGAAACCAGCCTGAGCAAGAGCGAGACCCCGTCTCTACTATAAATAGAAAGAAATTAATTGGCCAACTGATATATATATAAAAAATTAGCCGGGCATGGTGGCGCATGCCTGTAGTCCCAGCTACTTGGGAGGCTGAGGCAGAAGGATCGCTCGAGCCCAGGAGTTTGAGGTTGCTGTGAGCGAGGCTGACGCCACGGGCACTCACTCTAGCCTGGACAACAAAGCGAGACTCTGTCTCAAAAAAAAAAAAAAAAAAAACTAGGGTCTATATTGTCCAAAAATAGATAGTTGCCCTTTTTTTGTTTGTTTGTTTGGAGGATTGAAAATTAATTTTTTGGGGGGGGGCTTATATAAGTATTCTTGTTATATAAAAAGTGAAGGGTTTCATTGATTTAAAATTGTTTGCTCTGAAGTTTAAACTTATGTATTGGCTAATACGTACAAAATATGTTGTATTTTATGTGGTCTCTTATGGATAGACACTAACTATTTTAAGTGTCTAAGTGGGAAAGCTGAGAAGGTTTAGCGCGTCTTAGTTGTGTTGGAGAGCAGGTCTGGTGGGTTTCTTGTATCTGTAGGGTCTGTTAGAATTACCGTTAATGTTGCTTGTTTACTTGGAAGGGAATGTTTAAGTAGCAGCAAGGGCTGGCCTCTGGG